CTGAGGCTCTTGTTGGCGCGTTGCCAGGGAAAGCACGTGGGCATGATGTTTTCACCGGTATGAAGACAAGTGAAGTCGAGGCTGAAAATCTTCTTGTTCAAGTCGAAGCGTGCAATAGCAACGAGTACTTAAGTTTGCCAACTAAAGTAAGGGGAATTTATTTGCACAAAGCAACTCATTTCTATGTTTAGAACATCAACTGAAATATGAGACTTGAACGTATCATTGTCATGTTTAATATTGATAATAGAAATATTTCATTCAAATATTATAATATTCCAGATTTGTTTTCTATTGCAAATAAAATTCTGTGGGATATTTTATACATAAGACTAGACACAGGCTCTTTAAAACACTTATATCGATTGATATTTAAATTTTTTGATTAATGATTGATTGTCCTATATTATTGTATGTTTCTACACCTCATTTTTGTGAAAGACTAATTAATTGTATTATTAAACTTACTACTGTACTGTATAAAGTTGGTTGCTTCTCATATAGCATTTTCCAATAGTACATATTCAGTATAGAATTATAAAACTTGACAAAAAGGCTTTATTACAGCCCAGTGTTTTGTAATAATTTATTAAACTGTTCTGATATTGTATAATAGCTACTCATTACAAATATACAGTAGCTCCGACTAGTAAATTAAAATATCATTAGATAAGAGTATTCTCCTTAACAGACCTCCCACACATCCAGATTTAAACACTGATCCAGGTAAATCATATAATATCTCCATCACTATTAACTTTAAGTCACAAAAACTTGGGAGAAAAAAACCCCTTTGTTTGGTCAAATGGAGGGAAATATTGTATAAGAGAGCCCGTTATATATTAAGCTGCAAGGATTTAGATGTTGGCTGCTGCTATATTAAGCTGCAGGATTTAGATGTTGGCTGACATGCCAGCCCTAGCATCAACATACTGAGACCTAAACAAGGTTAAAATAAATTAGTCTTTGATATGCATGACAACAAGAAGTTCAAGCTCATGTTTTTCATAGGACAGGTACTGTAGGCTACATCATGTGCTATGCTAAGTGACAGGATTAATTAGGAACTCATTGGCTCTGGATGCTTCTAACAGATGTTAAATAATATCAAAACATTTGCAATTAAAAAAATATCACCAAAAAAAATGATAATTGTCATTTCATATTTATGCAAGTTATAAAAAAAGGAACCTGATGTCAAAACAATCACTAGAATTTTAGAAAAATCGTAATTTATTTTACATCTTTTGATGAGACTAGTTTAAATATTTGCATTGAAATTGTTAACAGTTTTATATTCTTTAGATTGTAATACTGTAGCTAAGGAAAGTACAAATCATTGCTGAACAATTCAAAACACTCCTATCAGTATAATTCTTTATAAACTGTGTACATCATTTTCTATTTTTGAATAAATAATTTCCAGCATAATAATAATATACAGTAATTAAATGCAACATTTAATAATACTCTAAAAATCAAAGAAAAATATTAAATCTATATTTTTCATGTTAATTAGAACTGTAAGTTCTTTTTTTCCATATTAATGTAGACATGTTTTTGCTAAATAACTGTCGAGCTCCTACAATAACACTTATATAGGCCTAAATGTTGCCAAAAATAAAGAAAAATATAGACTTAATTAAGTACATTGCTAATGAAAATAACTGGAAAATTGGTATCCAACCAGAATAATCACCAACGAATGACAACAAGAGGATTATTTCTGGTTGACCTCTGCCTTTCGTAATACAATCTGTGCGTTGATACATATCAAATGGCATCACTGACCCGATCTTAATATAATTTAGGACTCAAACGAAGGTAAAAAAAAATACTTGAATTGAACATAGCAACCAGGTGGGGTGTACCACAAAATTAATTAGTACAATGTGTTAGAATATTTAGCCAGGAACTGAATTTGAAAACTTGTGGTTAACAACAAAACAGTGCTAATACCAAACCATAGAAATCAAACAGAATCAAATTCTATCAACAGTAAACCACAGCAAACATGTCATTATCAGCTGGTATACAAATTATTGTTGTTATATACAGTTCCCTAACCATGTATTATGTATTACTACTTTAATGATGTAATCTGAATTTGGACGTGGTATCTACAAAAAAAAAATGAACAAAAAATATTATTTCAGAATTCATGATTGCGTTAAGTTCTATTTGTTTTACATTTTTTTAGACATGGTGCCGAAATTAAAAGCATTACAGACCTAAAAAATGACAACTTTAAAAATAGTATACCACAACCAGCATAATATAACAGGCCTTTTTTATAGTCCTAAACACTAACGAGAAAAACATTACAGCGGCGATGACATTCATAGTGCGGGCTTGCAAATGACACCAATTCAAATGAACTTTGCACCCACAATGCTACCCGATGAATGTCAGGTAATCTTTAGAATACGACAAAAGAAGTTCTCATGAGGAGTGAGTCAGTGCTTAAAAAAAAAATCAATACTTCTCCTCTTGGTATGTGTACATTAGAAAATGCATTTTGCATTGGGATACAATAGAAACTACAATGGAGAAATTAATATATTTCTGAGTAAATTATAACACTGAAAACTTTTCTTTTAAATTATACTAACATTTAAAAAAATATACTATTCCATTACAACATAATGGGTTATTGTTTGCAAAATTTCTTTTTGTGATCTACAGTGTTTGGTTGAACAATTTTACTATCACTTTATTTATTTTTTTTTTACTATTTAAAGTATTTTTTTTTTACTTTTTGAATTATTTTCATTTTTTTTTTAAACTAAAAGAACTTTAGAATATTGTATCCTGTGTGATATTACCTAAAATTTAAATCCATTATTCCATTTAAAAAAGGGATAGATTTTGGAGTGTTCTCTAAAATTACTTCTAAATTTCAAAATAGCTTTATAATAATCTTCTATAATATGTTAATATTTAAAATCTCAAAAAATTATTGCAGCCATAAAAAATTGAAACATGAATAATTTTACTGATTAAAAAAACTTTAATTAGAATATTTGGTATTAGGGGAATATGCTGGAGAAAAAAATGTCCATAATATAATTTCAAAATGTTCAACCAAACAAGAGTAGAGACCTTTCCAGTTAGTTCTTAAACACAGTGTACAGTAGCTAAAGAAATTTAAATACTGTATAGAGACAATTTATACTCAATCTATTTGAATCATGATTGAAAAAAGGCAACTCACGCTATCACTGACAGGAGGCTAAGAGCTGATTATTATGTCCGTGTCAACTAGAGTAGAGTTGGCTGAAATAATCCAACCAGCTGTAGGGGGGTTTCCTTCCCCAAAGAAAGATATCTCAGCACAATTAAAATCCAGAACTATGGGCCTAGATGAAAATGACTGCTGTAGATCAGACTCCTGGTGTTTCCTACAGAGGCATCATATATCACGAGTGGCTATCCAGACTGATATTTATCCAGTAAATGAACCAAGCAGTGAAAAAAAAAATAATCTAAGCCAAGTGTCTGCCCATGCAGAAATTATATCTTGTGGAACAGCAGCAGAGTAATATAATAATCTTCTTACTGCTTCGCTGGCGGCTATGGATGTATTCCACAAAGGTTCCAGGGTCATAGCTCATTAATATTCATAAGGTTTGCTCTAGGAAGTGCAAGCTGGTTGGCTGGATCAGACAATTGCCATTGTTGGAGATGAATAGGTTTCAGTGAATAGATATTGTTAATATTATTTATACTAAGGACCTGTCTTTTAGTTTCAGTGAAGCATGCAGCTAAGTAGCTGGCTGAATAGGCCGTCTCATTAAGCGATTTCAATAGGCCGTCTGTTTTAAGAACTGTTTTAGTAAAGGTGACGGTCATTCATGTTTACGAATGGCCAAAAGATTTGGCTTTCAATCAGCTGAATCAGTAGTACAAATCCACTTGAGAGCTTTAAAGTACACATGATGAAGTTCAAAATCCATTTTGAGTTCACCTTTTTTAAACAAGTTTTTATTACATAGGCCTAGTCGTACTAGGTTTTATTGATATTTGTCTTCACATATTTTATTCTTATTCATCTCAATATTATGGATGGTGTAAAGACATTACAAGCTACTACTGACACTAGCTACATCTTTGTATTGCTTTACGGTACATCCAATAATGGCAATCTTATTAAAAATGAATGATTTAAAAATAACCAAGGTTTATTAGTAGCGCATTGTATTGTACAAATACTACAGCGAACTTTAATAAAGGCCTCAACGTGGCCTAAAAAATAGAAAAGTACTCGTAGAAAACATAATTTTTATTTTTATTTAGAAAACTATAGATTAAATTAAAAATATAGATTAGACTATATAAATTATCGTGCAAAAAACATACCTGATCATCCTTCTTACCAGACATCTTCAGTTAGAGGATGAATTTTAAATACCCAAGTTAAAACATTCTTATGTTTAGGACCCCACAATTAAAGCTTGCTTACAGTGGGGTACCTCCTTTTTCACAATAATTTATTTTCATTTAAAATACAAAACACATACCAATGAACTCTACTTCCAAATTAGACGAGATAATGGGGAGGGGGCTCGTTATCCTAAGATGTAAAATTTCCTACAGTATATTCCAAATAGTTAGATAGTTAAAACTATAAAAACAATAGTATAGAACTTCTGGCCATCATTATGTACAAGTACTGTCTGGATTATGAATTATTTCTCTTTTCACGGAGTTATTATATAAAAAAAGAAGAAAATTACTGTATATACTGTAGATTACATTGTGGATTATCATTATTTTCATAATTTCACCACAAGTACGGAACAGACCCTTTTCTATGACATCCCTCTATCCTTCCCTCCATAAAACATAAATGACTCTTGTTTCTTGTTAATGTTATTTCATAAAAAATACAAGACTATTGAATCTTTCTTGTATGTTTTTACTCTTGTGAAAATGATTAAAAATCTGATAAATTTCAAATATTATAATGAGTTGGAAGTTCAAAGTTCAGAATGACTTACCTCAGTGGAACTTGCTGGAATTTCCTCTTTACCGGTGCTCTCATCTATATTAGGAGGTAATTGAGCCTAGACAGTGAGAGAGAGAGAGAGAGAGAAAGATTGAGTAACAATCAGTATATCAAAAAATGTAAAACAGGAAAGAACTCATCTAAAAATGTTATAAGGCAAATATGATATATAATAATAATATACAATAATAATATATATAATTAATATTATATTCATTGATCTACAGTAATTAATAAAGAACAAAACATTTAGATAATCTGGGAACTTGATACATAAATAAGACTTAAAATGCTTAGATAGTGAATGTAACAACCAAAACAAATTTAATTAAAAAAAATATCGTAAGTGTATAGTAAAATTTCAAATACAATATCAATGATCAACTTTAGGCATTAGTTTATACACATGAAAAATGTTTTTGAATTTACTTTTGAATGAATAATGTCATTGTAGATGACTGTTTAATTTAAAGGGGTAAAGAATTCTTCAATGAAGTGCCAGGCTGTCTAGATTAGAAATCAAATTGAAAAACGATCATAAATTTGAAAAAAAAAAATTATTATTATTACATACATTCTAAAACAAAACAGGGCGATTAGAATAGCAGAGGAAAATTAGCTTACAGGCTGGAGCTGAATCCAACTGTTTATATATTTTTTTTCTTTTCCAAGACTTCACCTTAAAATCTAAAGGTTATAAGTTGAGATAGAAACCTACATTTAAGATATTTTTTCTCGATTGGAAGTTATTAAAACCCACCGAATATATTCGACAAAAGAACATGTTACCTCACTGTATGTTTAACCCTTAAGATAAAGTACTTCAACATGTTGAGTCAGGTTGGTAACAACTCAAAATAATTAAATACTCATTATACGGGGCCCACAAAGGGCGGACTTGCACACCTTAGTTCACCTGGCCTTGCCTAAGAACTTCCATAAGGAAGCTAACCATCTCCTAAATGAGTTGACAGATACTCCACCAAGCATCCAATGCTATGAACAAAGGAATAAAGGCCGCTCATGACAGGGATGAGTAAAAATAGATTGGTACTTATCATTTTTTTTACTAGATTAATTATTCAAACACAAGGTCAAGAAAAGGACAAGGCTTGTAAGCCTTTCCATGTCAACCACAGATTTCCAGTTCAATCGATGTCCTACTTCTGTGAAGCCTGATTTAATGGGTTGAGAATAACCTAGTCCTACTTGTCTCTCAATTGATGTTTTTTTTCTTTTTTTTTTTAATCATTAATTTGCATTAATTAGTACTGCACTCTTCTATTATGTCCAAACTAATTGTCTTTCAGATGGGGAATGTCTATATTGTGTGATGATAGTAAGTAAACTTACAATAACTGACTTCGGTTGAATAAATAATATAAAAATGGCTTCCAGTAGGCCAAAATAAAAAACTTGTCATTGTTTAAAAAAAAAAAAAAAGAATGCAGCCACTTTTCTTTCTGAACAAAGATGGCCTTATTTACACAATGTACATCTACATTTATTTTTGAAAGTTTAAAAAAAAAGATTAAATAGGTGCCTTCACAATCCCCCAAAATGAAAGGGATAAGTATTAACATGTTTGTTAACAGTACAACTACTATAACACAGTAAAGAAATTCATTCAAATACTAGTTAGGAACAGTATATATAGTCATCCCGTATGAAATCACAATCTAAAGACTACCGTTAGTAGAGTTCATGTTTTTGTTCACTTCTTTGTCTTTGTAATTATTCAAGCATAGGGGTCATTTACAGAAATGAATGAAAAGTAATTCAGTATAGTTCAGGGGTCAACTGGAGTACCAAACAGATTACTCTTAGCAATGTAGTTTTAGATTAGTATCATTGTAAAATCATGACAATAATAGCCTATAATAACACAAATGCTTTTTATAGTTAATTTTTTTCAAAGTTCTCTGTTTATGCTCTAGTACAGTGTGGAATTAAAACATTAATTAAGTCTATATAACAGGAGAAGAAAAATAACACCATTTTGATAAAGTCTTCTGAGCCTGACTGAATGCTCAGTAGAGTACAGCTTAAACCTCAATGCCATACAGTAAGTCATGGATATCAGCACATGATTCCATATATGGCACTTGTAATTCAAGATCAACTGACCAGGGCCCAAAGACAATATACATCCCCCATCCTCCATTCATACTAATTAGCCATAAATCCAAGCTGGTTAAATAAGGGAAAATACTAAATTTCTTTGTTGGATTTAACACTGATCAATTAATTGAACAGCTGGTCTCGGGTTGGAGGAAAAGGCAGACAATTTTCTTCATTTCCTACAAATCCGCTATTGCTGGTGAAAATGTTTTGATAAACAGCTAGAAAGGGGAAAAAAACCCCTCTAGAAAATACCAGTACAGTACCTTAACTATATACATCACTAATCTTTCTGAACATTTTCATCAGAGATAATAACTAACTACAACACTAGACTAGCTGATGGTATTAATTTTGATATCGCTAAGCTAAAACTGATAAGAAAAATAGTCTCTCATTTCATGAAGTAAGCCTTGGAATAACCCTGCAGATGATCTGAAATTTTCTCCTAATATATCTTTTTAAAAGTTTACTTTCATAATTGTTTACTTTTGATTTTCTTATCAAAAACTTAACCAAACATATTAACATTCTTAATCATGATTCTTATTCCCCCTACCCCTTTTTGCTACTTGCTAACTTTTTATTAAAATGTAGTTTTCATTTTGTTCTTTTACTTTTATATTTTCCTTATATTTTATTACTTTACATATGGCCTTACACGGCCTTGACGTATCCTTTTAATAATAAAGTATATTATTATTATTATTTTTATTATAGAAATGAAAGAAAATAAATATAGATCTTAGTAACATTAATTACATAGTTGCAAAAATCATGTGTAGCTTATTATATTAATATCCTCAAATTAAAATCCAGTTTAAATGTTTGAAGAAAAAAGTGGCAATATAACTTGCTACAATACGATGGTAGAAAAAAACGCTAAGGTTGGCCATAAATTAAAATTATATCAAGTAGTAGGCCTACGATCAGCAAATAAATGGCACATTTTAAAGTACTGTAAATGATTAACCAAACATTAATAATAATAGCAACAAAACATATTTTTAAACAATGCTTATTGAAAAATTGGAAAAAAGACAATTCAAAACAATGATTTAATTAACACAAAAGGAATGACATCTGGATTAAAAATTTAATTTTAAGAAGGCTCCCTATTAAAAGTCATCCCTGACTTGAACCTATGACCAAATAAATGACATGGCTTTTTGTACACTCTACACCTGACTTGACAGTTGCCAAGCAGTAAGGCTGTGGTTCTGGTAACACTGGTGCTGGTTTGAGACCTTCCTCACCCAGGTTTTGATTGGTAAAGCCAAGTCATATCAGATGAACCAGAGTACACGGCTGGCTCGTGCACTTTAAAGAACTCTGATATTCCAGTTTACTTCAGCCCTTGTCGTTGCAAACTTATTTGAACATGATGCTACCAGTACCAAGCGCCTCTCTACGGCTGCTCCAGGGAACTACACCTGTACGCAATGATGCTGTGAGTTGTGACTTACTCTCCTGCTAACACCTACCTGCTGTTGATACTAATTTTTCACTAAACTACAGATATTAAATAAATAAACTATAAAAAATATGCACATTTCTTGTTGAATAATTAATATTTATTAATTAAGACAGGATGACAGGAATATTAAACAGTCACTGAATGACAGAATATTTTTTTAATGAGGGGTGGTTGTTGAATAAATGGAGGTTGTAAATGCAGTCTTTTGGAGGAAACCACCAACAAACCACTGACAGTATAAACATTACAGTTATCCGTCACAGCATGTGGAATGAGACAGCTTGAATTTGAGCCAAGCAAAATAAAGCATAAAGCACAAGGCGGCTATTTATGCCCTACTCTACTAAAGATGTTCAGATCATTACAGCCAGATGATAAGAACACTTGGTAACTATGGGAACGTTTATTCAATAATTTATACAATGAGCACACACCTGATTGGATAAGGAATGATTTCATGAGGCACATTTTATAATGACATTATAACGATTATCTCTTTAATCTATAGTGCACAGTTAACGAATTTCCATAGGGAAGTCAGGCATAATATCAATTATATTTGGTTAACAATGAATGGCTGTGTTAGAAATATTATTATTATATTATTTATTCTTTCTTTAAACTGCACATTCAGTACTTGTGTACTGCCATTGGTTTTCAAAGTGGTTCAGTTAAAAAACAAACCATCAAAATAGAAAGAAAACAACACAACACACAATAAATTCAATAGAAAATTCAATAAATTTAATGAAAGCTGAGTAATCAGACCAAACTAAGCACCAACATAGTTTTTAGAACTTGAAGCCTAAAAAGAAATGAAAAATACAAAAGGCATCATTAAACAAACAGTATAGGCCTAGGCTTATTATGAAAATGCTTTTGTATTGAATTTGTCGAGAAAGACACAGCATATAAATTATGCATTTTACTTCCTTCCACACTTAATAAATCTTCACATTGTTTTATCCATTTGTTGTCCTGCTAAACTTCACAACTAGGATGATGGATTAGGTATTCCACACCTTTGACCCTGTAGCCCAGACAGCCTAGGCTATTCCATGTTACTGAAGGTAAGACTTATACCCGATCCACACATGAAGTTAAATTTAACAAAAAGTAACAAATTGTAACCGAGCGATCTCCCGAGTTATTCCTACCGAGATAAAAAGCATTCACACACATCTGTAAGGTAATGCCGAGGTCGTGTAAAATTTATTCAGTGTTTATTCCATGAACCATTTTTTCCCCTACTGCGATATAGGTCTAGCCTAGGCCTAGTTGAGAACCCCTGTCACAGGACTGTTAACTCCCCATCACAGTAAACATTTGAAGCAATCAATGCCCTTAACAACTGCTGTACTACTACTACTAAACTAGGCATAGTTTCCAACGTGTCTGTCGACTTTTGATAATACTAGTAATAGTACTAACACCATCCCGACGATTTTATGTATATCTTCTTCTTCTACCATTTCTAATTAACATCAATAAGGGTAATTCATTCATCATTGAGAAAAACTAGGCCTATCTATTTCTAGTGGATCAGAATCGTCTGCAGAAGGCAGAAAATTCAAAGGACCCTGTGAAACACAGTAGATTGTTGTTGTGTTGAAATCCCTGCGCATGCGCAGATCCATCCATGCTACATCTCGGAAGCTTTACCAGCCTCAGCGAGGCTGGTAAAGATTACCGAGACGTTCCGAGATTTTACAAGGATATTACACGGAGGTACTTTCACACGTGCCGTAAAATGTTACTTTTGGTTACATTTGTTAAGATTTTTGTACGTGAGAATCGTGTATTACTGTACATTGTTTAAACCTGGTCTCCATAAAATCGCTACTTGCTATCGCTGATAGCTTTTGGTGACACTGATTGGTCAGTCAAATGAGGGAACCTTCCTAATTAAGTTGGGTGTAGTTTTACAGGGAAGTTAGACTTTAAAATAAATTACAGTATATAGTAAACTATGTACATGATACAAGGCTCTTTTACAACAATTCTTTAATCTATAGTGGTAGACAATTAACGTTAATAGGGAAGTTGGATATAATATTAATTTATTATGCAAATTATTATCATAATTTTATCAATTTAGAGTGCAGTACTGCTATAACAATGTCTCACTGACAAAGTAATTCATCTTGATACAGTAATAATATTAGTTCCATTGGGAATATATAATTATAATTTATATATAAAAAAATAATCTCCAAATTTATAGATGAGGAATTAAGATTGTTTTTTACAAATAATTTAAAGTCATCCGAAGCCATGACGAGGTGGTCGGACTAAAAATATTAATCAACCTATCTTAATAATAATAATTATTTTGATTGCTAATTCCAAATATTATGATCTGAAAGTACAAGTCTGGGTTATACTACGCCATAAAAACTCTCCCACATGACCCTACCAAGGATTCTATTCCAGCACCCTAAGGCTCCAGTCATCACATTTGTTCGAGCCCCTGTCCAACATGCAAGACCTCTTATCAGCTAATTTCTGGAGTGACCACTGACGATAAGGTCATTAATAAAAGCATAACTAATGTAATGAAGTTGGATTTATATAGCGCTTTATACTAGAGTCTCAAAGTACCTGAGGTGTGGACTCTTCATGTCTCAGCTACCCGGTAAATTGGTACCAGCTAGCTCTCGTCTGTCCACAACAGTGGCTGCATGGACCATTACATTGGGGTAGCCCCCTACTACTGTACTACTGAATTACTATGCAAGCCAACTCAAAACACATGTTTAATTATTAATTAATCTGCACTTTTCAAAGGAAACATAGTTTGATTTTTAATAGGACTTCTAGCCTGGTAATAAAAAATTAAAAAAACAGTACTTTTTTGATGCATTATTTACGAACATTCATTTTTGTATTTATTGGATAGCTTCAAATACAAATAACTGAAGCAAAAGGATAGGGGATTCATACCAGCAACATTTGGTTACGCAACAGAACTGGACTTAACTTGTTGGTTGGAAAGCCTAGATATCAACTTAAACTTTATCAGTTGGCAAAGTGAAAATATCTGAAATGCTTAGCTTGTTGAACTATACATCAGATCAAAGGTTATACCACTGATTCAACAACTGTGGTCTCGGTGGAGCAGTAGATGGAATTTGAAACATTATTTTGATGTATACAGTACCAGTCAACAAAACTATGTTATAAATGTTATCTGTTCAGTCCCATACAAACACTTTCAAGGTTTTTGTTAAATATTGTATATTGCATGCCATAGAAGAGATATCAATAGAAATTAGACAGCATTTGTTTACTTTCTATAACTCCAGTACATGTGATGGGTAGACATGTGGCTGGTACAAGACCTTTCAATGAACTGTTTCTAGTGCTGGTCAAAATTCTATTTGGTAATGCTGACAAAATACTTTCCTTTAAACATGATATCATAATTACAGCAATAGATTGCAGAGTGGTATAACAAAGAGATGAAATTTCGTTGCAATTACAGCCCCGGTTGGTAAAAGAACGCCATCGCATTCGTAATAGCGAGCTTTTGATTGCACGATGACATGACTCTAAAACGGATTCTATCATCTGTGACCATCCTACATTCTCTGAACTTTACCTTTTTTTTTTATTTGAGTAATCTAATGTCTAGATGACAAACATTAGCTAAATATTTAGAATTGTGCTAAATTTAATAAAATAATGTTTTTCCAGCATTGTACACGATGACCTATTGTGAATGTGTGACCATACTGTAAATGCTTGTATAAGCGCTGCGGCGCTTATAACATTTTTTTAAGCTTTAGTGCGACGCCTATTCGAAAATGATCCTTATAAAAAAAAAATATTGGCGTGTGGCGCTTTCCATGCTACCTATTTCACGTTTTCCTGTAGTTCAGTAGGCCTATCATAGGTCCTATCATCGTAAACAAATGTTTATAAGAAATGCTTTTGTCTTCATTGTGTTATTTATTCATTTTAACACTGTATACATTGTATTTAAAACCCTGTTTCTAAGTGTTTCATTATACACACGGTAATATACTCTCGATTAAGCGCCGTGGCGCTTAATGAAAAAATCATGTTTGATGCAAAACATATTGAAAGTGGCGCTTATTTGAGAGGGGTGCTTATTCAAGCACTTACGGTATACACGCATTATGTGCAGACTAGCTGAGCTAGAAACTGATGTTTCCTCTCTTTGCACACAATCTGTGATGGTTGATGGGTACGCTTCCTGGCAGCATAATCACACTTAATACTTTACAGAACAGTAACTGTAAATTCACAGTCAATTTTGTTCACAGTCAACAAAAGTGCTTACAAACTACATGCAGTAAGTAGTAGTAGGTAGAAAGTAAAATGAAAGAAACTAGGCCTACAATAAGGCCTATGACCTAGGCCTAGCCTAACTAGGGGAAGAGACCTAGGCCTAGAGAAAAACAGCCAGTCATGCATTTTTAAACTAGGTAGGCCTAGTTGGCCTAAGTTAGGCCTCTAGGCTAATCTAGTCGTCAGACTGATTAAAATAACTACTGTACATTTTTAGTACATTTGGCTCCAATTCTTATGACTGTAAATACCGCTTACAAATATAACTGATTATTTAGGTAGAGATTTTTTATCCAAAGCTAACGACAATTATCTATCCAGCTGAGATCAATCCCAATTTAAATCATTGGATGGTAGCAATTGAGCTGGGCGAGGCCTAGCAAAAATAGCATAAGTAAAAACAAGGAACACATTCAAAACGTGCAAAATTATGCAAACAAGCTAACCAGATAAAAGACATATTTTTCAATATTGATAATTACTTAGAATTTAGTTCTGAAGTACGATAATTTAAGTTCAAACCAATCCTACCTCCTCCTTTTCCTGGGCCTCCTTTGTCTAACCGATGGGCGAAAAAAAAATGTACACAAATGAACAGTGCCCTCAATAGTTTTTCACCTTGTGAATTTTAGAGGGCAGCATACCGTTTTCTTACAAATCTTGTGTTCAGAAAAGACGCTCTACGTCTTTTTTTGTTCATCGTGAGCGTAAAAATGTTTATCATACCAGTAACAAAAATTCCTTAAGAGGTTTCTTCCGAAGGTCAGGCGCCCTTGCGGTGTCCACGAGAAGAGCTCTTGTAGCGTTCAAAGGGCGAAGGCCCTAGCGATATAGGGTATCCTATTATTAAATTTATTCGAGATGACTTGAATATCAGCTAACCTAGAAGGTCACTTTTATTTATATTTCGAAGTGAAGATGTAACTTTGTGGTCAAGGTTCTAGCCTTCTAATTCAAGGCTCCAGGACTAAAATCTGGGGACACCAGGATTTTTATCTTGCTAAAAACAACTTCACTCCCTAAGTTTCATAATCAGACTAAGTTTAATCCTGCAACTGGCAAGTCCTGTGCTTGTTGTATGGATGTGAAAGGAAGAATGGGATGGGTACCAATACCAATACACGTGAAAACATCACGAGCATCATATTTCATTAAATAAGATTTATGAAAAGTAAAGTATGTTTAAATCAACTTACCAGCTTTCGTCTGAGTAGGACACATTTCCTTCTCTTACAAATCTGATGCCCTGTTCTTCTGTTCTTACAGCTTGAACACTCTCCACAGTTCTCTTTTGTCATGCAAGGCTCGCATGTACCACATCGTTTTCGTTTTTTCTTCTTCTGTGGTTGATTTTCAGAATCTGCCGTATCTGATGGGCTGGCCCGGCCACCATTATCACTCCCTGAGCTATGGCAATATGCAGACGATTTGTTAGGTTCTGCCGGAGATCTACATTCTGATATTATACTATCATCAAATTGCTCCTCTTGGTTGGCCGCGTTACATTCGGACGAATCTTCTTCCGGTTTGATAAAAAATCTGACCGATTCTTGTAATCGATCAGACGTTGAAGAGACGGGCTCAGATTTGTAATGGGTAAACATATTGCAATCAGTTTGCAGAGAGGCTTCATCTGAGAATTCATAAGCATTATGTTCGGAAGCCTTTGAAATGGATGCTATCGCCGATTTTGTTGGGAGCTTACAGTTTTTTTGCTGTATGGATTCTGAAATGGCGGATTTATTTCCAAGAGCTTGGCGGAGGATACTACTATTACTTATATGCAGGGGAAAGACAGACTCCGGGGTTGGAGTTCTTGTAGTTTCATCACGACCCTGGTTATTTGTTTTCTTAATGGTTTTGCTCACCCCGAAAAAACGCCGTTTTGGTCCATGTTTGGGAGGCATTTTGGACGCGATAGTATGCTCGTGGCTCTTATTCCTATTTGCGTCATCGACAGCAGACTCACTAGCCTGTGCCATCGACTGCTCCGATGTGTCCCCATTAGTTTCATTTTGTTTACTATCCTTGCAACTAACATCCGTTAAATTTGTTGAGCATTCGGTTGTGTTCTGCTTCGGGTCGTTAAAGTTCAAGTGCATACTAGCGTCTAAGGTACGCTCTATCATTGTCGCAATTGTCATCTCCATAGTAACCTTCCGCCTTAGATCTTGCGCGGATTGAGCTTGTTCACATTTGATCTCTGTGTCTTTGGTTAGCTGACGATGGTGGGGTACGTTTGAATTAGACGAATCTGTGTTTGGACTGACTGAACTGTTTTCATTTATAATTTTGCTTTCTTTGCTTTCTTTATACAATCCAATGTTTTTCAACCATTCGTCGTAATAGCCAGGTGGCGGTTCCTTTAGGTATTGTACATTATCCTGGGTTCGAATTCTTTTCTTTGGAATCATGTTTGTAACATGTTTGCTTTCTGATGTTCCGTGAGTGTTTTGTGTTGATGAGTTATCGTGTGCACTGACTTTTTGCTCAGTTAAAGCCTTGAGTAGAAGTCCACTACCCGGGGTGTCATGTTCCGAGTGCGGTGGAGAGATTTTGGGACCAGGGACACCATCTCCACGATCACACTGTCGTCTCGGATTGACTACATCTTTAGACGTTTCAGACTTAATGACAGAGCTACAACTAGCTGACTGCCAATTTAAATAATCACTAAGTTTGTCGCTATTAGTATTACCCATAGACACGTGCCCACCCGAGCACGACGCAAGAAACTCATTCTTCGTTGCTAGAGAATTAACAGTCGGTGGTGTGTGTGTGATTTCGTTATATCCATTTTCTGATATGTTCTGAAATTTGTGCGGAAGACATTCACATTTCATTGGACATTGACATAATATTTCTTGTTGACTACATGCCAAGGGATCTAAATCTGTCGAATGCAAACCACGCAACATTTTGTTACAACCTTTTGATTTTTCCACATTCGCATCGTGAGTTTCCATGTTATCAGCTGGTTGGTCATTCAATGCCCGTTGTTTCCATCGTTTAAAAGCCGAGCCACCACCATTATTGGTTAAATTCCTGTCCCCGTGTGTGTCGTCCTCCATCAGGGTGCGTCGAATTAGAGCTTCCATGAGCGTCCCAGACGATAGCCTGGAATAAGTATCCGCCTCGGCCATTGCCGTCTCTAGAAAAAGATCATAACAACAATTAAGAATCGGCTCGAAGAAATAAAAAAATGATGGCAGCTAACAAAGGCGCTGAAGTTATTTACCGTAGCGAGCTCAAATTAGATCAATAACCTAGCCAGTGTGCAAATATTTCCGGCATTACAGCGCTACTGAATAACTGAGTTATATCTAAGTAGAGTTCTAGTTACGCACCTCAGAGAATTGTGAACTTAGACGCAACAATAGAATTCACTCCGGCTCCTGTTAGATCAGTTCAACGATTTATTTCCCTCCGGCGCAACTGATTGAGTGGAGCACAGACGATAATGTGCGTGGCAGGCCGCAGAGCAATGCATAACTTTAGTCATGAGAGCGTACACTGTGGCTTTACTTTTAATGTCAAGTCTGTAAGCTTAAGCGGTTTTCCACTCGTGTCGTTACTACGTGCTTCGACGCAAATGTGTATGACCTTCATATGACCTCCCGGCCGCAGCAAAAATAAAAAAGCATGTCTAACCGAACGTTTGACAACATAAAATAAGGTGCAGAAGTTCGCCTGGAGTTTTATTCGATGCTATTCAAGTCATGATTATTAAAGTGAGCCACGTAAATGATTTAAAATTTGGCGTATTAATTATTACGGTGATGAAAGCAGTCTGCTGATGAACACTGATCGATTATTTCAATTTAAATGTGAATTTGTAACTTATTAAACTGCTATAAGCATAATTGTAAAAGCAATATTAAATAAAATGATGATAAATCTAAACGCATCAATAATGACAGGAAACATAAAGATAAAAAGCAAGCAAAAACGTAGAAGGGCCTCTACATACACAATTAAACAAAGTACGGTAGTCCAACATAAAAAATAACATCATGTACCGTTTGCCTACAATCAATAAAGCTGTTGATTTTTGTCTACGGTTGATTACATGATTTCAGAGGTAATGTATCTTTATTGGCTGGGCGTCTTGACCTAATTCTAAGGCGATTACACATGAAAGAAAGTTTAAACTACTACACTGCATCCGTTTAAAAATATGAGTAAAATGCTTATATCTGTGTTGGCATTCCATTTTCCTAGGAAGAATATCCGATTCCTCTCTCCCCAATCAAACCCTCTCTCCCTTACCGCAGTACAGGTAGGGTTCACAAGCCACCCATTCCCACATATCCCGGTTCAATTTCCACGTACCTGAACAAGTGAGTATTCACCTTGATTGGTAATCTCTTCTTTTTTTTAATATCCACTATTTATTTTAATTACAACGGCCTGACCCCAATAACAAGATGCCTTTTAAATACAGTGTTGAAAACATAAATAAGCCTCATATGTAAATCAATAAAAGTGCCGTAACGTCTGTACACCAGGCAAATAGGAAGAAGTCCTAGTGATTAATGCAAAATCGCTTCCGCAAAGCTATATAAGACGTCCATGTGAACGGGTTTATTTTCAGGGGGCTTATTCATAGAGAAAATTGTAGAGAAAGCGCATGTAGGCCTACAATTTGTTTTACCGGATCCAGGCCTAGGCCCTTGGGCTAAGACTTATTAGCTACCATACGATCAGGGTTTACGTTGACAAAATTCAATGTAATTTTAATGTAATAAATAAAAATTTGCTTTGTACGTATCTACTAATCCATTACCGGTACGGTATAGGGGTACTATAGGCCTATATAGTGTTTCAAATATGCCTAATATTAATACATTGGTATGCGAGTCTGTATTATATAGTGTCATAAAATAAACATTACATTGTACAATCATGTAGATTAAACCAAAGAAAACAGCCGCATTCAGGATGGCTTATTATTCGCTCTCGAATCAATTAAGTAACAACGACTCGCATAACAAACACTAATCGCTCAGATTTAATCTGTGGAGACGCAGACTAGGCCTAATAACTGAAATACATCAATAACGCGCCAAATTAGTTTACGTTCATAATAACGATTAGAGAAAGCCGGAACGAAGTAGGCCTACTATTAATCATAAAATACATTCTGAATAGACGAATGAAGCAACGGCAAAAGCAGTCATACTTTGCCGTGTACTTTCCATACAATAATAGAAGGGGAGGGGGTTGGGATTTATAGTGATGGTGTCGTACATAACGCCGATCACACATCGTCGGCTGAAGCGATCCCGTGGAGAACGCAACGCGACGAGGGCACGCAACGGATCGTTTGACTACCGGTAACATCTTTCAACTTTTCTTTATTGACATTCATCAAAACATAATGGTAGGCCTAGCATATGGTCAAAGTTTACAAAAACAGATATTAAATTAGACATGAAATATTACGGTATAAAAAATGTAACAATCCGCGCAGTCTGCCATCGACAACCAGCAGACGGCGTCGCGCACGACGCAATGTATGCCTGTCATCAAATAACACAGAATAGGTAGCGGTCTATCTTGGTAGAACGCTATTGATGCCATCAACCTGTCAGGGTTGGAAAAATCCTAGACAACATGGTTGATCCATGGAGAAAATTTTATTTTCTCCATGGTTGATCATATAGTAAAATCGAATACAAGTTTATAATTTGAATTATTATCAATAGGACAGTCGAATAGCAAGCCAATTTCTTGAATGTTTATGTACTTTTAATCATAGGCTTACGTAAATCGATATTTTAGTGTACCGTACGGTACTCGTTGCGTGGATTTTGTGGGGCTTCGACTTAGTGGAACTACGAGTTAATGTTCATGTTCCGTAATTAATTTTATTTTCTACTACTCTTAATAGGCTAGATTACGATTTATTAGTATATTTTAATCTATATTGCAGTGCATACTGTACTGCTGTTGTAGTGTGACTTGATATTGATTTAGTCCTTTATATAACTTTTGAAACTATTAAAAAGCAATTTTCGTATCATTTCTGATTTGAAGGTGCGTGACAGTGTGGGCTGTACGCGAGAGTTAGTAGAAAACGAAAGTGAATGGCTTGCATTCTGGGAGTAGGCCTATGTTGTCCCCACGTGAGTGTCTGGCCTGTTAACATACTGTAATAGGAGTTTTCGCGAGCTTACGAAAATGATAACGAATACAATTACGTCATCAAATTTTTAAACAACCATAGGCCATCTGTCCCAACTGAGGCGATTCATGCCTTTTGCATGAATCAAGGATCATATTACTTATTAGCTTGTTCAGCATATTTTCAAGAATGTTTTAGGCGCGAATGACGACAATGATAATGGCGTAGGCCTATTCGTCTCTGGTTATCGTTTTCGTAAGTTTGCGAAATACCCCATATGTGCAAACATATATGATTTCTACATATTAGATTGACATAAATACATTATTTAAAAAACAGAAGCGCACGCACAGAGTCCTGTAACCTGTTGCCCGTAGTATCCACTTCCATTCATAAAGGGGGTTTGGGATATGCTCAACGCAAGAAGATTTTGAGTGTTTTTAAATACACTCTGGGTATCCGAAAGGGTCTTCATTTATACACTATAGCAGCACAAATCAATAAAACCTCCTTTGTAAAATGAAAGAGTAGACGAGGCCTTTCGACGTTATTTCAATCTATCTAGTTTTCAATACCCGTAGCGCCACGGATGCAGTGAAAGAGGAACGATAATAAGCTAAATTTAACTCGCATTAAAAGCGTATTAATCCACCGGGGAGCGTGCTTCAGGTTAGCTAGAGCACGACAAGATCACAAATATGATACAGCCAAGCCTCATGCGTACAATTCCTAAAATCATTATCATAGTCGATGACGCAGTTTAACCGGCGCACATTGAGCGACATTCGCCGGGGAGATTAACGTCGAATGCGGGTCTATAATTATGGAAATAATGCGTGGATATAGTGAATATTGACGTGGAACTGAGCTTTCAAGTAGACCATGAGTAGACACACATTATCCGCGCAGAGGCAACGGTTGATCAAGAGGGGATGATCGAGGAAGGTCATAGGGAAAGTACAGTGCCGTTAGCTAGACTTACAGGGAAGCCGTGTCTACGCAACGCACGAAGTGGCTGCCCAAGGGAGCTGCTCTTCAAGGTGCTGAAGGCGCAATGACCTTCCGACTAACTAGAGCCGAAGTAAAGTTAGCAACCCAGACCCGCTGCGTGCTAATATTTACGAGTTGTCTGAGGAGCTGTGAGTTGCGCGGTGTTTTTTCCTGTCGCATGGAATGACTTGAATGTGTTTTCAGAAAATTGGATTATGAATAATAGGGTTTAACACCCGTAGACAATATTCGTACTTTTAATGTGAATTAGATTACACAGTCAGCACCCTAAATTCTGCAAGACCAAAATTGAGGCAACCTTCAAATTCCAAACCGTATAGATTTATGAACGATCACAAATATTAATTGCGATTACAACAATAGACATTGTAAATGGTTTCGCTAGTACACGACATCATAACCACACTAATGCATTAACCACCAGAACCAACTGATATAATAATGGAGTTATTGTAACAACTTTACAATGTCATTGAACAATATAAAAAGAAATTGGGAATTAGACCTTAAAGTGGGTTCACATGTACTAGCGCTCTCAAACTGAAGAGACAACGCACGCACGCGTAACAACGCAAGCCGCGGTGGCCTGGACGAGTTTTTCTGCGGATTGGATTTCAGGAGGTTATCAGTAAAATAGTTGAATGTAATGCAGGTGTAGCGTTTCTCGTGTTTACGTAAAAAATGCATCTGAAGGGGCTCTAATGCGAACCAGTCTTAAGTACGGTACCGTACCGTGCGAAAACTTTCGAAGATAAAGTACGATGCAAATTATAATGCAGTTAAGTTCAGGACTTTCTCTACCCACAATCTCTTATGAGAGGTCACACGGTACAATTCTGACGTAAGCCCAGATTCACAAAGAAACCACGGACGTAAATAACTATAAATTGTAAATGGTGTCCACAGATTTGCTCTATTGACACCCGCACCCTAAAAAAAAAAAAAGAAAGAAAAACAACAAACAAACCAAAGCAATTTAAAATTCAGGGCAAATGCTTTCCGGTGCGTGTTAA